GATGCAGGTACAACAAGAATTAAGAAGGCTAATAGAATGTTATTGGTTATCAGGAGAAGAACTGAATACAAAAGGAGGTTATGCTTCGGTTATATAGAGCACTGGTAAGATTGCAACTAGAGTACTGTGCGCAGTATTTGTCACCCTATTTAAAGAAAGTGTGTAACTCCTTTGGAGCCAGTTTAGGGCCAGATTACAAGATTAATACTTGGAATGAGCAAGTTGTCTTATGAGGAAAGTTTGGATAGGCCAGGCTTGCATCCCGTGGAGTTTACAAATATAAGTGATTTGATTGAAACAGATAAAATCCTGGGTGATCTTAACAGGGTAAATGTGGAGAGGATGTTTCCTCTTATGGAAGAATCTAGAACTAGGGTTCACTATTTACATTTTCAAGGATTGTCTGTTAAAACAGAGATTAGGTGAAAAATAATTCTGACAGGATTGAGTATCTTTGGAACCCTCTTCCTTGTATAACTTTAAGGCAGAGGTAGATGGATTCTTAAGGAAAGGTCGAAAGGTTATCGGGGTAGGCAGGAATGTAGATTTGAGGTTATAATCGGATCAGCAATGATCTTATTAAATGGCGGAGCAGACTAGAGGAGCTGAATGGCCAACTCTGACTCCTTGTTCATAACTTCATACATAAGGAGCCTTAGCAAGTTGATGCAGTACATAATACTGCCATTGTGGTTCGGCAGCAGAGTAAATGTTTAAGTTCATAAGTAGGCTGGTGATCAGACTGGCTTATTTGCCCTGGATGACTGAAGTTTGAATGTTGTTGGAGCTGCAGTCATCCAGGCGAGGATAAAGTGTTCTACGACAATCTTGACTTTTGCCTTGTAGATGGCAAAATACTTTCCTCGAGTCAGAAGCTGAATAACTTGCTGCAGAATTTTCAGCCTCCAAATAGCTCTTGGAGATGGTAATTTTATGGCTAGTCCAATTCAGCTTCTATCACTGGTAAGCCACTGTTGATGGTGGGGAATTCAGCACTGGTACTACAGTGGAATACTAAGTATAGATGGTTAAATTTGATCTTAAGGGAAATATCATTGCTTAACTCATGGCCAAAGTGCAATGCAGTTAACAAATATTCAAACATGTAAGTTTACTTACAGGCACATTGCATTTCATTAGCCTTTTTTTAAATATTATTTAAAAAACTCAAATTTGTCAGTGTTTATTTGATTTAAAAAAACTTGAAAAATTCTGCCTTGTGATTTATCATTCATTTTTGTTTCTAGTCCTCTTCTTAAAAGAAATATGCAGGGCCAGAATTAGCTGAAACAACAGAAGCAATAACCCGCATTATAAATGTGCAAATCAAATCAACAGTATGTGGTGAGAAAGAGATACACCATGAATAGCAAATTGACAAGTTGCTGGCCAGCACAAGCTGCTCTGTTTTCAACTGAAGGAAAATAATGTCTCAGTCTTAACTTTCGTTTCTGGACGTTGCTACAATGTCACATTAATTGTCTATTAAAATTTCCATGATGTTTAATCTTGTAATTACCAACGCAAGTGTCTTTTTGAACTTTGTAATATGAACCCTTGTGACAATCAAGTGCTCACATCCAAAAATAAAGAATTAAAAGCATAGAATTGTATTTCAAAAGTTAAGTATTAAAAATGTGAAACCTCAATTATTTTGCTTACTTTCCCTGTCTCTTTTCACTCAATTATTTCACCTCCCCTCTATCCCACCCATTTCTCCTCCATAGCTAACACTGGATTCATTTGCTACATTGCACCTTCCTCATGGCTGTTTATCAATCCTTGTATCTCATTAGTCAAATAGATACACCGTTATCCCATGACTCATGAAGGTTTCAGATACTGTTGCCCTTGCTGTACTAATATTGGCTCCAACTTCAAGCAATTTTGTAAGCATTTTAAAAAAAACTTAATGTGCATAACAACACATGTACAAGATGCTCCATTCTAGAATTATTAGGACAAGAGTCTGCTGACCAAACAGTGGTTATGCCAGCATTGAGAGGAGTTGTGCATGGGACTCTGCAGAATCCCCATCATAGAATTGCCCAGGAAATTGAGTTTGCTTCTGGGCAATTCCTCTGCACCTAGAATCCTCCGAAACTCTCAATAACAAATCAAAGACTTTAATGGCTCTGATTAAATTAAGTAAAATAGTAATGCATAAAATGTTAGATTATTAACTACATAGTTTAACTCCTGAGTTATAATTAAACTGACCCAACAAAGACCCCTTCCACCCCAGTTATACCCTCTTGCAACATCTTCCTTCAGGCAGAAACTACAGAAGCTTAAACATTTACCAACAGGTTCAAGAATAGCTTCTTCCCCGCTATTATTAGACGCAGAATGGGCCCCGCCAACTTAAAAGCTAATGTTGATCTTGTTTTTGAGCACCTGCTGTGCAGCCATAGCCTTGCATGCCTCACTCGGTCTAAACCCCCTATGATCTGCAAGTCCTTGTATGTTATGATCTGCCTGTACTGCATGCAAAACACAACTTTTCACTGTACTTAGATGCATCTAACAACAATAAATCAAAAGTCAATACCTACCTCACACACCCCCAACTACATCATCCCCACATCACTTACACTGCCCAGTCTCTGACCCAATGCCCCCAGGACCCAACAACCCCATACCTGGCCACATTACCAGTCCCAGAGATCTGACACCCTTGACCCAGAACCAGACACACTCCTCTCTGCCAGACCCGAAACCACCTGCTCCTACTGAACCAGATCTCTCCAATGCCGGCCAGTGGGCCAAACCCACACACCATGCCAGTGGACCTGAACCAACACCACAACCATAGACAACAGCTGTCAAAGTGGCTGTGAGGGTCTTTAAGTTTTAAAATACAACAGCTGACTGCTGCAAAAAAGGGGCCATGGTTTGCCTTCCTCTGACTGCCATACATTAATGAAAGAACTGTCAGAATGTAATAATGGGTCCACATTTCTGTAGGAGACTCAAGTGGAATATCCCCTCAGCAATGCAGAGCTCTCTTTTGTAAAAAAGAACAGGAGTGGCAAATTGTAGAGATTGCCATTCCATGGAAAATCTAGCTCATATTGTTTTCTTATGCTGGTCTTACATACTGGAAATATGGGGACAACATGACAATTGCCAACTCCAGACTATGCAGTGCAGTTGGTGAGGTGCTTGAAACTTAACACAGCAAGTGAATGGGGTGGGATTAACAGCATACAGTTAAATGCTCATAAATATACTGCTATGCAAAAACACTGACAGAAATGAATGCATGCCCTTTGATATGAAGTTAGCTAAGTACACTGAAGCAGTCCTTCTCCAAGTGCAGTAAAACCTGGACAATATCCAGGTTTGGATTGACATAAGTGGCATTTAACATTTCTGCCACATAAGTGCTGGCAATGACCATCTCCAACGAGAGAATGTAACCATCTTCTCTTCATATTTTAATGGCATTACCACTGAATCCCCCACTGTCTTTGTAGGGCTTTGCCATTGACCAAAAATGAAATTTGACTAGCTATATAAATATAGTAGCTACAAGAACAGATCAAGGTTAGGAATCTTGCAGCAAATATCTCACCTTATGATCACCAGCTACAAGTCACATGTTGGGAGCATGATAGAACATTCCCACTTGCCTAGATGAGTACAGTTCCAACAACACTCATGGAGCTTGACATGATCCAGGACAAAGCAGCTCACTTCATTGTCACCACTTCCACAAACATTCACTCCTTCCATTACTGATGCTCAGTAGCTGCCATCTGCAAGGGGCACTGCAGAAAACTGCCAAGGGTCCTTAAGACAGTAAGTTCCAAATCCACAGACACTACCAACTAGAAGGGCAAAGTCAGCTGATACATGGCACATTACCACTTGCAATTTGTACTTGCACTTCATGATCACTGGGTCAAAATCCTGGAACTCCCTTCCTAATGGCATTGTGGGTATAGCTACACTGAATGGACTGCAGTTGTTCAAGACGACAATGTACTACCGCCTTCTCAAGGACAACTAGGGATGAACAATAAATGCTGAATCAGCCAGCACATCCCATGAATGAATATTAAATATATAACAAAAATCACCCTGATAGAGGTAAAAAGTCTGGGGTATACAGTTTCAAGCCAACTTGAAGCAGGTGGACCAAGTACACACAAGTAGGTTGCAAAACCAATAAATGGATGTTCATTCTCAGATCCTTCATGTTCCCCATCTCTGGGCTGTTATTGATCTACACTGACTTCATTCACCCTTTGGTTGACCATATCCTAGTTTCTATCACATGCAAACTGTCCAAACTGAAAAAATACAGATGCAAGTGCTATGATTCATGTACAAATGACACTTAAAATCAATGCTCTTTCATGTCACAAAACTCAATCTTATAAACAAAAAGTTAAAACTTGTACTAAGTTTAGAAAGTTTCTCAGGGAAAACACCCAATTTCAGGACGGATTACCTTGACCCAGAGTAATCAAGGCAATTCAGAAGAACAATTAAATTCAATTCCATAAGATGCAGGACAGAGAAGGCTCCAATTTAGTTATTAAATGGGTCCTCAAATGGAGTACTTAAATGATAAAACATACATGTATATCTACCTACAACATAGGAATGGTGCACTGGTTTACAATATTAATATAATTCTAGTTCATCATTAGCTTTCAATTAATATCCCATCCACCAGTTCCACTAACTGCTGAATTTATCTATTTTTGCTACTACATGATGATCACACTTGCACATTTTAACCAGATTTTGTAGTCAATGCATGAATTTTTTTATGAAAGCCACAATGTATGCGTTTTCTGAATGAAGTACCATTTTTATTGTTAGGCCTACTGTAAATACAAAACATATTAATGACATTTAAACAGTAGAAGTGTGATACTGCAAGTAGCCAGTTAAACACAATGATTAATTAAGTTTTTTACCAAAGAAATGACATACATTTACTACAATGTTAAGATTTTCTTTAATATGTACACTATTTTACTTACCTACAGTCTCTACGAGAACTAGATCATATCCTGCCCCTTCACATAAAATAATTGTTTCATTTGTGGTTCTGGTTACTCCTCCCAACATACCCAAAGTTGGTGATGGGCGGATATACGCATTCATATCCCTTGAAAGTTCAGTCATCCGTGTTTTGTCACCCAAGAGTGACCCTGAAAATTGAAACAGCAAAGGTGAAATCAAGGTATTCCATGAAATATAGTATCCCTATATTTGACACCATTCCAAGAGTGTTGTAATTTTGAAATGCTCCAAATTTGAATACTATTAATTGCCATTTATTCTAGTAAAAGAATAATCCATATTAGCAAAAAGACCAGCAAGCTATCAAAGAAAGAACTCATTGAAACGAATTAAAGAATTTTCCAACACAGAAGTTAGTTATTTGGCCTGTTGAGCCTCTACCAGCTCTTTGAAAACTGCAAATTAACGCCAGACTCTATACATCTCAGAATCGCTACAGTGCAGAAGAGACTGTTCAGCCCATCAAGTCTACACCAACTCTCCAAAGAGCATCCCACCCCAGTCCCAACCCCTGGTTCTAAATCATTCTTCCCTCCTTCCAGTGTAAGGAGTAACAGAAAATCTCCTGGCCATGATTCAAATTTGCCATTTTCCTGTAAACTGTTCTCTTTGCCAATTTCTTTAGTGAAAGGAAGAGAGGGAAATGCACTTTCAGACACACTGAAAGGGGTGAATTCTCAGTCAGTGAAAGAAAAACAGTAACAAAAACAGAAACTGCTGGGAAAGCTCAGCAGATGTGGCACCATCTGTGGAGAGAAATCAGAGTTAATGTTTTGAGTCTAATGACCGTTCCTCAGAAACAAAAATAGCACCAGGGTGGAAACCATATCCCTTATCAGCAAAGAACGGAAAGAAAGCAGAATAAACTGAAAGAAAATTCAATGACATTTGAGATTCTGAGTGGTGCCAGAACTATTTCCTTTGACTGTTCCCTTCCTCACCAATAATACTTTTGTCTTATCTTGTCCTTTTGTATATTTGTTTGCATGTGTCTGGGAATTTTAAAAAAAGGGATGGAGTCTAAACTCGAATCAGAGATAGTAGGAACTGCAGATGCTGGAGAATCCGAGACAACAAGGTGCAGGGCTGGATGAACACAGCAGGCCAAGCAGCAT